ATATTTAGGAGCTCTTTCTGATGTTGAGTGAGTTGTCTTTATTGTGGGGTGTGTTTTTTCCTTTCTTTTGAAAAATGTTTAAAGTTAAATGTGATTAGAGGGTTAGTAAGGTATAATTTATAGTTTTTAAAATGTGGGTTTATGGAAGGATTTCAGTAATTTTGTGTGTGTGTTTTTGGGCTTCGGAGTTAAGGATTAGGAGGGTTAATTATTTAAGGTGTGAAAATATTGGAATGGGAAGAAGTGGAAGTTCGCAGCAGCCAGTTAAATTACAAATTTGCAAAAAAAACGACCCTGGTTAGAGCAGCTGGGGGGTAAACAAGATAAATATGAAAATATAAATAAAAACAGAGAAAAATAGACCTATAAGTAAAATAAAAATGTATTAAAATAAGGTAAAAAGCCAAAAATTTATGGAAATATTGTATAGAAAGCTCTTTAGTATTGTTGGTTGAGAGAATAGGTTGATAAGGAGAGATGGTCGATTTAACAACTGTTTATAGATCCAAAGTGATTACTAATGGATGTATGTAAGTTCTACCTAAGAGTTAGCTATTGGGAAAATGAGATGCAGAGGAAAAATTGAATAATGATAACTGTTGGTGTTGCTGCTGTATAATATATTTGTTGTAAAGGTGTTAATGGGAAGATATGAATATTGCTTAATTATCAAGGATCAGAGCATAATGTAAAAATCCAATAAAATATATATATTTAAAAAAATAATTAAAAAAATACTGGGTATAAACTTTGTGTGTGCACGAAAGCTTATACCCAGAATTAAATTTCGTTGGTCTTAAAAGTGCCACTGGAGTGACTGGACTCAGACTGTGTTTTGTATTTTCACTTGGGTAGCTGTTGTTGGGCTGAAGCAGCAGACATTGAAGAAAACTTTGGTCTTAAGGGTGCCACTGGACTCAAACTTTAATCTATATTTTCACTGTTATATTTATTGTTCAAATGTGACTAATGGAGGAGAAAGATCCATGTAACCTTCTTGGATCCCTTTTGGGGAGATAAGTGAAGTAAATAAATTCATTTGTCAACTGTTAATATGCTAGAATGTATATTGTTAACTTTTGAAAAGTTAATTTTTACAAAATTTAATTATTATCCAGATATATTGCCAGTCCTGTTGTGACTGTACAAGATGTACAAGATGTATTGTGTTTTCAAGTTTTATTTTTTCCTGCACCTCAAAAGGGTAAAAACTGAGATGTGCTGTGCGAAGGTAGCATAGTGTGCTGCCATTGTCAGAACTATGTAATATTCACACCTGTGCTCTTCTTGTTCAGTCTTTTATTTTCCTGTTTACCACCAATCACAATTCTACTATAATTTTTGGATTGCCATCTTGTCCTCCAAACTGCTACCATAAATCAAAGGATTCTTTTGGTTACAGTTTGAAGGGCAAGAGTTTAACCTGGATATTGAGGAGCACTATGCTTAACAGTAAGGAGAAAACATACAAATTTACAGCTTATTAATCATGCTTCAAATGTGTAGTCAGAAAATTGTCTAAATTAAGAGACTGAGCTGTACAGCTCCTACAAGATGACTGTTTAAATTTTTTCTTAAATCTTAATTAATACAGTACCATATCACTTATAACTTCATTGCCTTTAATGCTATTATAAAAGGTATAGGAGTCATTTTGTGCCATATCAACAAAATTTGACTCCTAAAACAGGTGCACTCAGTAATTAAAATATAGTAGATCTGGAACTAGAAGGCACTTCATATCAATATATATAAAATATTATAAAATATAATGGATTGGAATGTCAGTATGTTTCTTGGAGTCAATATCTTTTTTTTGAGTTTATAAATGCATTATAAACCACCAATGAAGTACATGTTTTTTATTTTAGTGTCTCACGTACATGCTGAGTTGGAGGGGCCAAAGTGGGGATTTTTGCATTTTTTGGAAATCTGGCAGTTCAAAACATCATGTGTACATGGAAATACCTCAGTGAAGTGTGTTCAGTGAAACTGATCTCTGGTAGTTGAATCTATTCATCATAATCAGGTTCACTGTTGGGTCTAGTTGCACACAAGAGAAACTTCCTATAAATATTTGGACATCAATTGCTAGTGCTTTTCTCATTCATTTGTGTCTGTGTGCACATGTTTTACAGGAAATGTGCCCTTGAATAAATTTGGAAGGATGTGTCTTGCCTAGAGATGTAAAATTTCCGGAAATTTTGAAGCTCGGAAAAAAACCCGTTTTTTTCCGGGGGGAAACAGAAATTTTTGGAAAAATTGAAAAAATGCCACATTAGCATTTCTTTTGTCTTTTCTAGATTGAAAGTCATTTTGTTACTTTAGGAACATAAAATATGACTATGGACATTTTTACTTGGCATGAAATTATCACAACTAGCATATTAAAAATATAGTGTATCCAAACAATTATTTCAAAACAAAAACCCACCCACATGCAAAAACAAAACTGAAACTTTTTTATTTTCTTCTGACAATCGCACCTCCTAAAGGAAGAAATGCATCTTGTTCTTGCATTGGAGGGTTCAGTTTGTAACCTAGGACTTGCTTGTCCTCAGTGCAGAGAAATTAGATCAATCTGATACCATATATATATATAAAATAAATTATTTGGAAAATATTTGAACAACTTGTCTTAAAATATTTTATTCATCATGTTAAAATAAAACGTTCCATAATCAATTTTTTTCTTTTTTCAATTTTTCCAATTTTTCGGAAAAAAACAAAAAGGCTTCAGGAAAAAAAATGGGGGGAAACCGGTTTCCCCCCCGAATTTTTCCGGTTTTTTTCCGGGCCTTCACATCTCTAGTCTTGCTCCCATATTTCTAAAAAAATTTTTTTTTGCTGTACCTGTGTTTCAACATAAATAACTGCAAAAATTTAACAAAATTAATGGTTATGTTGTGATCTTAGTTTATTGATTTGTCATGAATGTACTGTGTTTCATGTCTAAATTAAGGCCCATACATCATTTGACATCTTAGAGCCTTAACTTTAAAATATAGGTTAAGGTTTGTGTTTTTATTTTCCATGATATTCTGCTTGTTTCCAATTATGTTTTTTATACCATTCATAAAATCATTACTTACTCTGACTTTGCTACACTGTAACCATTTTGCTTTTAACAGTTGTATTTTCCTTTAAAAAACCCAAATCTGATTCAGAATAGGGCTGTAATACAAATCCTTGGATCCTGCTTCAGTATTACGACTGGCAGGGCTCTAGTCGGGGGGGAGCTCTCAGGTACGGAGCTCCGGAAGAGAACCTCTAGGGGGCGGGGCGGTCACGTGGTGAAGCCCCGCCCCCTTCTTTACCCCGCCCTCTGCTTCGATCCTCATTCCGTTTGGGAATGAGGATGAAGCAGGAGGGTAAGTAGCCGGGCCTTCTGACACACTTCCGGTGATGTCAGGGGGTGTGGCCTTCTGTCACTTCCGGTGATGTCAGGGGGCGTGGCATATGCAAATAAGTTATGCTAATGAGTTATGCTAATGAGCTCCGGCAGCTCTTTTTCTACAACAAGACCCCTGACGACTGGTATAATAGATCAGTACTAAAGCATCTTAGGCATGATGATGCTACGGAGTTCTTGTGAGGTACACTAACAACAGGTTACCATATGGTTTATGTGATTCTTCCATAAATTCCATAATTTCTAGTCTTGTTCCAACATTTGGAGGCGTATGTTTGTCAGCTTGCTGTTAATATTCAAGCATTTAGTGTTGTCTCACTTTGGATGCAGTGTTTCATGCATAAAACTAGCATACTGAAAACAGTAACTGCCTGCCCCCTTTCATTTCAGGTACCGTAAACTAGCATTAAAGTGGCACCCTGATAAAAATCCAGATAACAAAGAAGAAGCAGAAAGGCAGTTTAAACAACTAGCTGAGGCATATGAAGTCCTGTCAGATGGTGAGTATTAAGAGGGTATTTAAGGTTAGGAAATTACCATTTATTTTGAGGGAAACCGTAAAGAAGGAGACTGTCTCTTCTGTGACTTAGATCAGTTTCTAGCATTACAAAATCTGTATTGGCTATGAATTTTGGCCTCAGAATGTCAAATAATAAGATCCACATCTGATATGAGAGAATGTAACATGGAAGTTAGGAGCTTGTAGCCACTTGCAGCTTGCTTTAGAGCTCCCATTAGACTCCAAGAATAATAATGGTCTGTGAATTTCTTCCCATAAATCTTAGTTGCAGGATTCCCTTATTTGATTTTCATTGCTTTCTTCCACTGCTACTTTGGGTTGAGTGGGCAAACATCTTCTTTAGTTAGGATATACCTCTCATGACTTTTTCTTGTTGGAAACCTTCACTTTGTTACACAGGCAGGTTTTGTCCTGATATAGAATTCATGTTGCAGTCATAAAGGTACAGGTCCTGTTCACAATTCTCAGCGGGAATCTCTTAAAATTACTATTTGTGTAATTTACAGTTTCTTCTTCTGGCTTACTGGATGGAACTTCACCAGTGGCTAAAGCAAAAATCTACTGCTAATCTGAATTAGTTATGTTAACTACTTTATTTCTTCTCACTGAATAATTGACTGGGGCTGGTTGTGCTGTTAATTCCATAAAGGTTAATTTGAGAGGAATACTCTGTTTCTGCGTCAGTGTTTTCCAAGCTGACTCTCTGCCAAGATAAGAAAAAGCCCCTTAGTATTCTTCCTTTTTGAAAAATAAGTCTTTAAATCAGGGTTTGACCAATGCCAAGTGCCAGAGCACTTAGCAATTTTTGTTGTGGCACCTAGTTGTCTGTAGTCATTTATTGTTAAGTGCCTCTTGGTGATTCTCAGTAGAAGTACAAAGCTTATTTAGGTGGGGTATAGAGGTTAGCTTTTTGTTGTGATGACAACCAGGGATACCCCATATTTATTTACACACTGCAACACTTTTTCTTATAGCTTTTTAAAAATTACAAGAAACTCCGAGGAGTTTAGGATTACATTTGGTGGAGCAATAGTTAGAAAGTATGGTCATCATATATCTCATTATCAGTATGGCCCCATATGCGGGTTGTGCACAGACAAGATGGATCTTTCTACAAAGAAAAAAAAGCCCCAGGTTGGCAGAAAAACCTTGGAGTAAAATCCCTCAAAATGATAAAAGGAGCACCTGTAGAAATGGATACCTTCAGTGACCATTACTAGGCAACTACAACTGTATTGCTAGCCTTAATATCTTGGTTTCTGTCAGTAAAAAGAAAGGGGAGGGTGTGGAGCTGTTCTGCCCTTTGAGGGAGAACTAATTAGGACTAGGCTCAACAGCAGCTACCCCACAATAGCCAGTGTGGTATAGTGGTTAGAGTTGCGGATTAGGTTCTGAGAGACCCAGGTTAGAATCACCATTCTGATGTGGAAATGCACATGGGCGATTTTTGGGCCCATCACACACACTCAGCCAATCCTCCTTCACAGTGTGGTTGTTAATATAAGATGGAAGAGAAGAGAATGATGTAAGCAGCTTTGGGTCCTCATTGTGTAGAAAGGAGGGATATAAATAATATAGCTAAAGATAACAGATAAGCTGGGTGGGAAGGAGAGAAGGAAAAAGGAAGAGGAGGAGAAGAAAAGAGAAGAGATTGGATTTATACCCCGCTATTCACTTGGCGTCTCAGAGCAGTTTACAAAACTCCTTTCCTTTCCCCTTCCCACAACAGACACCCTGTGAGGTAGGTGGGGCTGAGAGAGCTCTTTCCAGAACTGTCCGTGAGAGAACAGCTCTAACAGAACTATGGCTTGCCCAAGGTCATCCAGCAGCTGCAAGTGGAGGAGTGGGGAATCAAACCTGTTTCTCCCAGATTAGAGTCCATGCACTTAACCACTACACCAAACTGGCTCTCTCAGACAATGGTGGCTGCCAGGAAAGAGGAAATAGTGAGGTAGGGGAAATGGGATGCTCCACACAAGTTCTTGCGGGTTCCCACTTGTTAAAATATAAAACCCTGAAGACTGAAATAGAAGCCTGGGTCCTGATTTTTTGGGTAGCTCATAAAGGCAAAGAAAACTTGTCAAAGCCTGCTTTAAATTGCCACAAGACCAACATGCAGACCTGTAGCCACGGGGGCGTTTGGGGGCGATGCCTCCCATGGATCAGCCTTGCCACCCCCAGGAGGATGCCAGACCCCCCTGGTATGGGTGGGGGTCCCTTGGTTTTGGGTGTGGAGTAGGCTGGCGGCGGCAGTTCCCAGTAGTGTTATCTCGCTACTGATGTCTTGTGGAGAGTGAGTGAGATAATACTATTGGGAGCCGTTGCCGCCTGCCCACTCTATACCAGAGGAGGCCGGGCTTCTTCTTTGCCATGGCTCCCCTTCTTCTCCTCATCCTTGCTTGCCAGCCTGCCAGAGGAGGCGGTGGTAGAGGGGGATAATGCACGGGGTGAGTAGTGAGCCTGCAGCCCTCCCAGCGCTGACCCACGATGCTTTGTGTATTGGAAAGGCCTTTCCTGGCAGAGGTGGTGGGGTGGGCCATTCCACTCAGCCGCCCCTTGCTCTCCCTTCCTGCTTGGCCACATGGCCTTGTCAGGGAAGAACTGCCCACCAATGTAAAGCGCTGTGGCTGAAGGGGGGGGGCTTTAATTAGCCACAATGTTAATTTAATTAACTGAACTAATTAACTTAGTGTCGTGATAAACACCGTGCCCCCTCTTTGCCCCCCCAAATTTCCTGGCATAAGGTTTCATGATTCTGAGTCCACTTCATCAGATCCATGAAGTGGCCTACAGATTGTGAAAGCTTATGCCACAATAAATTCATTGGTTTTTAAAGTGCCATAAGTTTCTGCTTTAATTGTCATACATTAGTTGCTGTGTCTCGGCAGCAGCTGTCCATTTTTTTACAATGTTAGATTAATAGTAACATGCCTACTCCTGTGTAATATATAAAAGCAGCAAAACCAGGCCACCCACATATACGGCTAGGACCTCTATATGCTTGTAAGTTATGCAGAAAGCAAACAAGAATTCAAGTTTGCAGCAAATGTGATGATATGAAGTTAGTTTTGACACCTAAGTAGTTTGCCTTAACTATTCCCTGTTCTTTGTAGCTAAAAAACGTGATATCTATGACAGATATGGAAAAGAAGGCTTAAATGGAGGAGGTATGTAAGAATGTAATTTTTTTTCTTTTAAAAAGTATAAATGACTTCTAGCTGTAAAAATGCATCTACATTTCCCCCCCAAACAGACAGTAATAGTAATTTGAAACTATTGCGTATTCACATAATGGCTTAAACTGATGGAAATTCCGTAAGCTCTCAATCTTGTCTTTACAGGAAATTACTAGAAAAAAGTCTTGCGACATGGCTCTGCAAAAACTTGTGTCATAAAAGTAGCCAGATTCTCTCTCTTTGTTTTGTTTTAACAGACTAACATGGCTACCTTTCTTAAAATAGTTAAAACATCCTCGTTCTCTTATTCCCAGATTTAAGTTTATATTTATGGGAATTAAGTAGTTGACCTTATTGTGTATGAGGGAGGACATGTGTTTAATTGTGGATAATTAAATTTAGAAATGAGTTAAAACAGAATTAAATACTTCACTGGAATGAGCCCTGTTTATAACTTAGAATTGAGAGTTTTTTGGTGTTTTAGATAAAAATTGTAAAGGAATTGGTAAATAAAAATGTCCCAAGCTTTCCTGATTAGCATTTCATCTAAAATTCTTAAGCGTTAATAAACATAATAATTGTATTTGAATGAAATTGATAACTGAACTTATTGGTTCCTTAGTGAGAGCTGTATAAATGAAAGTAAACACTAAATGTTGTGAAGTTGCAATGAATCAATAGTTTGAGGAACTGAGGTGTGATAATGAGTTTTTTTTGTTCTGCAGGTGGAAGCCATTTTGACAGCCCATTTGAATATGGTTTTACATTCCGGAACCCAGAGGATGTCTTCAGGGAGTTTTTTGGTGAAAGGGACCCATTTTCATTTGACTTCTTTGGTGAGTATTTGAGGTGAATGTGACTGTGTGTATTGGAATTTAAAATTTTGAAATTTGTTTTGGTAATAAAATATGCTGGCCTTTTCCTGTCCTCCCTTGTTTTGCTGTAATGATACTTTTCTTGCTGTCTTTTATACTTTTTAGAACTCCTCTGCTCTTTTGCCTGTTCTTCACCATTCCTTTGCCAAAACAGTATACACATGTTTGTTTCCCTGCACAGCATACTGTTTTAGAATAGTCTCAACTGAGGTGATATAAGCACTCCATATGACGAATATATACATTGCTGGCTTCTTTGCACACACATTAGTAGCTGGCTGAGATGTGCAGTCTGAGAATGCAGTCTGCTTGGTACTTATCCTTTGGGAGAGTATGCACAAAGCTATGTTAGTGTGGAAAATTGGCCAGTTAAGTGCTTCTGAACCATTTTTTTCTTCTGACATTTCACCATCATGATCAGCCATAAGATATGAGCCAAAGGAGTTCAGAGTTGCTATTGATGCAGATGCATCGTACGGTCTGATATAAAGGGAACCCTTTAATCCTTAAGCCTGAATTGATGATCAGTGGATATGTTTGTGGCTGGGCAAAAAGTCTTTGTCCACAGCTACCTGTGAAGACAAGAGAATGACAGCTACCACGTCCCTACCATAGACGTGAAAGAGGGATTAAAGTACCAGGTAATGGACTTTATCATCAACAAGCTGTTTATCGAAGGAAAAAAGAGCATAATGTGAACATTTTTGTCTTGCAGTAGCCATGGATCTTTGAAGAGTTACTTGTATGCTTTCCCTGGTTGTTTCTGCATTGAGTAGTATGGAAAGAAATATATCTGAGAACTGATTCTCATTTAATGATCAAAAATTAATTTTCCGCTAAAGCAGGGTTGCCACTTTCTGGAAAGTCAGGGAAATTGGTCTGAAGTCAGGGAAATTGTGATTAAAATATATTCAAGCGGTGGATTTTTGACCTGCTGCTGCAAGAGCATGATCTGTTCTTGTGGCAGCTGGAATAGAGAAGTAGCAGAATACAAGTATAACTTAATGATGCCCTTTCCCAACCATTTTAGATAGAATGTTTATATAATTTTTAGTGTACCTTTAAAACAATAACAAAAATGTTATGTCATTTGTTAGCATTTAGAGTTTACTTGAATTGAAATTTGTATCTTGGTGTAATTGCGAAATAGATGTTGCTGCAGTTAATGTTGAAAGAAGCTGATATTAAATCTCTTGGACAAATATTTTTGCAGTTGAGACTTGTATAGTTGTAGAGTGGAACCTTACCTTGCATTAATGCAATACGATTTTTTAACGTGTGTTTATATTTGAATGGTGGTCAGGGAAATTGACAAATGGTGGTCAGGGAAAGTCAGAGAAATGAAAAATAAAATTTTAGTGACAACCCTGAGAGGGATTCTATTAAGCTTTTCTTACCCCATTCATATAATATCTTGTGTCTCTGTGTGTGGGAGGATAGAAGAGCCATTCCACTATAGCAAGTAATGTAGACTGTTCTGGTGACTGATTAGCCTCCCATAATCTACATTTGAAGGACTAGGGATTGGAATTAAATGTCCTTTTATGTAAATAAGGCATATTATATTGGAGCAATTATTTACAGTAAGAATATTAGTAAGAGTAATACAGTAACAGTATTAGTAAAAATCTGGCATCTTCGATAACAAGCAACAGAAGTCAATTGTAGCAAAGACCTCAACTAAGGCACTCTGGTTAAATCTTGTATCATTATAAACACTGGAACACTGAAACAGTATCATAAAAGGAATGTGCCACACTTTGACTGTGACATTCATTGTAATTCATTAAAAGCTACATTTTAAAAAAAATAACCATTAATACTGCATAATTCTTAAACTGGCAGTACTTGATTTCTGTTCAGAAGCCCATGTTGGATTTAATAGATGAATGAGGATTTTGCACCCCAAGGTAGCTTGTATTGTTTAATAGCAAATTACTTATGAATTGACCCAAGTACAATTGATACTTTTCATAGATGCCTACTCAGTGGTTATCAGTTGGCTGCCAGAGGAGTCTAATGAAGGATCAGAAGAAGGCTCCATAGAGGAGCTGGAGGAAGTGTATAGTAGTGAGTCAATAGGAGAACTGGCAGAGGAGCTGGAGGAAGAGCTAGAAGAAGAATATGGTGAAGATTTTATTGAGATGCTTGAAGAGCATGATGAAGGATCTGTTTGTCTGGAAGAACTGCTAGTGGAGGAGGAGAACTCTGAAGGAATAGCAGAAGAGGCTCTAGAGGAAGAAGCAAGTTTAGTGTCAGAAGAGTGGGTAGAAGAACCTAGTAGTATAATCTTTGAGGACATGGAAGAAGAAATAAGTATAGGATCAGAGTTGGAAGACATCTGTGGAAGTCTTTAATAAACTTGTTTTAAGCAATCGAAGATGTCTCTTTGCTTCTCTGAAGGGTATGAAGGGTACTCATAGGGGTGTGCATTAGGTTTATCCGAGCTGAAACCCCCACCCCCCAAATACTTTACCAGTATTGTTCTGGTTTTTCTTCAGCTGCAGTATTTATCTGGCTGTCCGATATGGCCGAGTCCAAAAAATCCTGAAAATATTCGGGATTTTGGGGGGCCTCCGGATACCTGGCATTAAAGGGTGTTTCAAGGTATTGCAGTCCCTTTAAACACCTTCCAGGTGAAGCCACATCTTGGAAAAGGCATTTAAAGGGACCACGAGCCCTTTAAATGCCTGTGGAGTTCAGCTGCAGCTTGCAAAAGGTAATTAAAGGGACTGCATTTCCTTTAAATCCCCTTTGAAGGCATCTTTTTCTGGGGCCCATAGAATTGGACCCCCCAGTCCAATCTTTTTGAAACTTGAGGGTTTTTTTGAGGAGAGACACCAGCAGCTATCCTACGAATTTGTTGCTTCTACCTCAAAAAATAGCCCAATCCCAAATATAGCACATCTGTATACCATACCAGTATTGGGATTTGGGAATATTAGGAAATACCGATATTTTTTGGGTTCAGTATACCCAAACCAGAAAATACTGGGGTTTTTTTTTAACACTCCTAGGTGCTCAGTTGAAGAGCATAAAGAAGAAAATGTAAGTCTAATTTAGTTTAAATGCTATTACAAAGTCTGCAGTATTTCAAGCTTAGTATCATGAGAAGTGATATGAATATTTTTATAACTAGACTTAACTAGCAGAACTCAAATGCTGGTTTTACATTTAAGCATTAAAAATGCCATCTTGGAAATGAAATTGCAGAGAGCTGCATCTTAGTAAAGTGCTTCTAAAAACGAGTACAGAACTATATCTAACCCCCTGAAGACTGAACTGATCACTCTGTATTTGTGCACTGTAAATCTACCTATTGTTATCCGTGGTAGATACTAGGAATTCTTAAGTCTACATGCTCAATTATTGAAATGTTAACCAGAATAAACAGATAAATACTAACGAACTGAGATGACTGTGCTAACTCTGAAAAGAAGTTGCAATTTAATATCACCTGGTCAGGATAGTGCCTCAAAGTTTCTATTGATTACTTAAATCTAGTGTTTATCTAATTTGTTACCATTTCATTAACATGATTTCAGTGTTGAATGAGTGTTATAGATGAGACAGTTCACTTGTTAAAACCCAAAATACAGAATATCCATGCACTTACAGATTTGGGTGTTAGATGAGGTAACAATCTGAACTGTAAAGCTGGTGGTTTTCTTTGGATGCATTGTTGGTATTTAATTTCTTATGTTGCTCTGCCATACAGCCAGTCTGTTACTGGTTTTTTCCCAGAACAAAAGAACACATTTGCTTGTGAGCCACTTCTTTTGCCTTACTTTTCTGAACCATTTAAAATGTATAAAGGGTTTTTTGATAGCATTTAGGGCTTGCTCATCTATTCACTCTTAGCAGTTAAAAGCAGCAATGTGTCTTGGTTCAGCTTTCTTTTTAAAAACAAATATTATACAGGAACATAAATTATCATAGAATCATAGAATGTTAGAGTTGGAAGGGACCTTGCAGGTCATCTAGTCCAACCCCCTGCACTCTGCAAGATTGTAGCCAAAAGATAGCCCTACAACATACCCAAAAGATGTTCGCCCAGCCTTCGCTTGAAAACGTCCAGTGGAGGAGCATCCACCCCCTCCTGAGGCAGTCTGTTCCACTGCTCAACCACTCTTACAGTTAGGAAGTTTCTCCTGATATTTAGCTGGTAACAACTCCCTTGTAATTTCTACCCATTAGATCTAGTCTTGCAATCCGGAGCAAGAGAAAATAGATCTGCTCCATCTTCTACATGACAGCCCTTCAGATATTTGAAGACTGCAATCATGTCGCCTCTAAGCCTTCTCTTTCCTAGGCTAAACATACCCAACTCTTTCAGCCTTTCCTCTTGGATTCCAGCCCTCTCACCATCCTTGTTGCCCTCTCTTGGACATGCTCGAGCTTGTCAACATCCTTCTTAAAATGTGGTGCCCAAAACTGGACACAGTACTCCAGGTGAGGCCTGACCATAGCAGAATAGAGTGGAACGACCACCTCCCGTGATCTGGACACAATGCTTCTGTTAATGCATCCTAAGATTGCATTAGCTTTCTTCTCAGTCACATCGCACTGCAGGCTCATGTTTAGCTTGTGATCAACCAGAACACCTAGATCCCTTTCACATGTGCTGCTGTCAAGCCCAGTCCCTCCCATTCTATATCTGTAAATTCATATGTAACACTACAGCAGAACAATAACAATTATACAATAAAACAAAATACAAATGGATGAATTGTTATCTGTGATTTTCTTTTTCCAGAATATAATAAACAACATGTAGTGTTTGCTTAATCAGCATTCTGGAAAGGACTCTGAGTTCTTTGGTAACGTTTTTACCAACACTTCACAATCCTAACTACTGTCACACCTTATTACATGGCATATATTGCCTGTAATTTAGGTTGGTGCTGGCTTCAGATGAAAATGGAAGAAACTGAGCACTAGACATGTTTACCTGATGGCCATCTTTGTTAACATCTAGGCCTTAGGCAAAATCTGACCTGTATTCTCATACTTGTATTGGTGTTTGTGTGTGTGTGTTAAGTGTCATCAAGTCACTTCCAATTTATGGCAAATGTATACATTAACATTCTCCATAATGTCCTGTCATTAATAGGCTTGCTCAGGTCTGGCAAACTGAAGGCTGTGGTTTCTTTGATTAAGTCAATCCATCTCATGCTGGGTCTTCCTCTTTTCCTGCTGCCTTCAACTTTTCCATTATTGTCTTTTCCAGTGACTCTTGTCTTCTAATAATGGGACCAAAGTACAATTAGCTTCAGTGTAGTCATTTTAGCTTTTAGGGGAGAGTTCAGGCTTGGTTTGATCTAGAGCCCACCTATTTTTCTTTTTGGCAGTCCATGGTATCTGTAAAACTCTCCCGCAACACCACATTTCAAATAAATCCACTTTCTTGTCAGCCTTTTTCATTGTCCAGTTTTCACACCCATACATAGTAAGATCTCTTTTTCCTGTTTTGCCCCATTAATTATGTTCTTGCTAGAGCTTAAAGCTATCTTATGTTATTGTTGTTTAATTGTTTCCTCTCTTGCTTTTCATATATACAATCTTATAAGCCACCTTGAGAGCTGGATCCTGAAACACAGAATGTATCTTCTCTGAACTGAATGGATTAGTCTAACGGTCTGCCTGTACCACAGTTGTCTTCATGTAAAGTTAAAGGCAGTATTTGTTTTGTTGTGTGCTTTTACACAGTATCTTTCTTCTGAAGACTCATAAATGGGTAAATTATTGCCCACTGGACTCTACAGGAATTTTCATGTCCCATTCCCCACACTGTACCTGTCGTGGTATAGGCAGCTAGGAACCCCTCCCCCCTCCTAGCAGAACAACTTTTTTTGCACAGGAAAAATTTGAGAGCAGAGAAAAGAATTCCAGAACAACCTGGTGGCCATCTGTCCAGGTACACTCAATTATGCATTGCGGAATTTCTGTGGGTTTTTTTTACATTTCAGTGTTAATAGAGATCTTCAGTGTGGAGGGCAGTAGCTGCACTGATAACGAATTAAGAACTCAAATACAACACAAAGCAAAGATGAAATTTAACTGCACAGCTAAAGATCTTCTTCAAGTTATAGAATAGCAGATGCATCTATTTTCTATACAGTTCTTTAGATGCTGAGGTTTTGAGTATTTTGAATGCATTGTGGGTTATGCATGGTGACAGGCCAAATTTTAATGTAAACCACTATCACAAAAGTGAGGCTATAACCCTTAAACAGGGCATGTGAAAGGGATAGAATTGCATGGGAAGAGGTAGAAAAACACTGGCAAATCTTTCCAGGGCTCATTGTTATGGTGATAGCAGAAGGAAATGTGGGGTCCCTGCAGGGTTTAGACTTTAACTTTCCTGTAAACTAGTATAATGTAACCAGAACACAACTGACTTCTGGTTGTTTTCTGTGCTACATTCACAATCTTATAATTGTAGAATTTGACTGATCTTTGTTGTATATAAACATCAAGTAAAAGAACTGGTTATATATAGATGCATGACAGTGACCAGTAGTAGAATATAGCTTGTGTCCATGTGAATGTCCTTCATAGGTTGTGAGTCATTCTCTTAACTAGCAGAAATAAACAGGGCTGTTTACATTAATGTTTTACATGATAAATCTGTTGGATTAACATGTAAACTTGCAAGCCTTTTGTTTTGCTTGGGATGCTTGGAGTGCATCATGCCAAATCTCTGATTGCTCTTAAAGATGTATTAACTGAGTTAAAATGTGCATCCTAGTCCTATCTGTGGGATTTTGATAAGTTGGATTTCTTCCCATTGATTTGTTTTACAGTTTAATACTAGTTGGGGGGTACCTTATTTACTTTTATTATTTGTTTGTATTCATATTCGACTATACAGTTAAGTAGAAGGAATACATTTAATGACTCACCACATGTATGCATTAGCCTAAAATGTACCAGTATGTAGAGGATGCTCTTCTCTTCCCTTTGACGAAGATGGCTTTTAATTTACAAATCTGTTGTAATGCTTGGTGGGTGTGAATCATTGTATCTCTTCTCATTGGTTAGGGGCACGAGCTCCGTATATACCAAGCCAAATAAATACCCTTAACATTTGCTTTTAGTATACATCTGAATTAAGGAAAAACTTAGCTAATGGCATCTGCAACTCTGAACTTTTGAAAAGCTAACTAAATTTGTTATTCTATATCGCTGGAAAACTGTTTTGTTCTCTAGCTATATGTTGAAGCTTTCAGTAATTTATTATGGGAAGCAATTTTTTTTATTTAGACTGCTCAGATGCATTTATATTTGGTTGAAGTTAAGTTTTACAAGCTCAAATTTTGGGGACTAAAGATTTGGATCCATTAACAGGAAAAATTAATGCTAACATTGCTATGATGCATTAACAGTAACATCCTTCTACAAAATCAGATGCTTCTGTTCCTACATCAGGATATCGAAAAGAGGACAAATCTTAATGTGCTGCCAGGCAGAGAACCTTTGCTTTATGGAGTGTGAGAGGCATGGGAAATGTGGTATAAGCACTGACGATTGGAAGTTTGTGAAAATTAAATTATTTCACATTGTGTGTAGCACTGAATTTCCCTTGCTCATTATTTCTACAACCCTTTCATTTTTATTTGTAGAAGACCCTTTTGATGACTTTTTCGGTAACAGACGAGGGACACGTGGAAACAGAAACCGAGGTGGTGGATCCTTCTTCTCTGCCTTTGGTGGATTCCCTGCCTTTGGGAGTGGGTTTCCTTCGTTTGATACAGGTAGGCTGTGCATGAAACAAATTCAGTGTAGTAATTAGAAGTGGAGACCTAATTCCTCACGGAATAAACTCTGAAATACTTAAAGCAAAGTACAATGCTACATAGCTTAAACTGGGCTGTCTTTTGAAGAGACCATGGTATATGTGTAAATGGCCAAAAAGGGCTAGAATGATGGAGCAATACAAGGGAATAGTGGCTTGGATTCAGAATATTGCTTTAGATGTAACCCAAGGCTTGGGTATGCCCCGTGACATTTCTGGCTTCCCCTTTAGCATCTAGTTCTGTTAATATGCTATACATTGGCTGTGGTCACACGGGCAGGAAAATTCGGGGGGGAAGCGTGACTGTTTGCCCCGGGGCAAACTAACGCGTAGTTACTCGATCAGACCTCCCCTGGAGGTTCCGTAGAGGTTCAGTGGGAAGGGAGAGGTGCTGATCACAGGACGATCCTGCGCGCAACAAAGAAGCCCGCGGTGCGGCAAACGGGTGGGTTTTTTTGTCGTGTACACCAAAAATGCGCATGCTCCGTTGGGTGCTTGTGCGCATCCACGGAGACTTGGGGGGAAAAAAACCTTGTTTGCAAGGGGACATGGGCGGACGCCGGATGCCACCGGAAACGCGATCAGACGCCCGCCCTTGCCCCGCAGTTTCCGGAAACTAGTACCTTCGAGGTACTAGTTTTTTGCAGCGCGGTTTCGGCGGGAAGCCTCGGTTGAGCCACGGAAGCGCTACGCTTCCCAGATGTGCCAGTGAGATCGCGCCCGGAAACTCCGCTTGACTTCCGTCTCTCTAGCGTGGCTAATGTTCCGTGTGACCGCAGCCATTGTTTTGGAAATCTCCACAGTTTCAGAAGTGACTTGCAGAGTAGTAGTATGATTGTTTGAATCCCATCTAATGTACTGGAAAAGTAAATTAGGACAGTATGGTGTGACTCAGTTTATTGAATAAAACTGGCCAAACTGGTAAATAGCTTGACTTAATAAACTGCACTCTGTAAAATATTGGTGCTCTTAAATTTAAAACAAAAACTGTTAGCATGAAGGATCCCAGCTTTATCTTGAACTCAGTCCTCAAAAACAAAACCACTACGATCGCACCCAGTGGAACTGGCCGGTATTCAGTATTGCTGGTATTTAAAACAGAGAGCCAGTTTGGTGTAGTGGTTAAGTGCGCGGACTCTAATCTGGGAGAACCGGGTTTGATTCCCCATTCCTCCACTTGCACCTGCTGATGTGACCTTGGGTCAGTCACAAGCTCTGGCACAGCTGTCCTTGAAAAAGGGCAGTTTGTGTCAGAGTTCTCTCAGCCCCACCCACCTCACAGGGTGTCTGTTGTGGGGAGGGGAAGGGAAAGGAGTTTGTAAGCCGCTCTGAGACTTCAAGTGAAGGGCGGGGTATAAATCCAATCTCTTCTTCTTCTTCTTTTTTAACAGCTACCATTATTAGACATGGTTGTACAATTTTCCATTCTCATCCTTGAATTTAGGAAGCTATTGGTCACAGCCCGATTTTCATTTTCTAGAGGAATGTGGTGCATTCTGCCTCTAGCTGTCATTTTGGTCAAGTACATTCTGTCATTTGTATTCCCTTACCAGGTTTTACTTCGTTTGGTTCTTTGGGACATGGGGGCCTTACTTCATTCTCCTCAACATCATTTGGTGGCAGCGGGATGGGTAACTTCAAATCAGTATCGACTTCGACTAAAATAGTGAATGGCAGAAAAATTACTACAAAGAGGTACAGTGACTTCAATGTTTCAGTTTGGTAGTAGTGTAAACACTAGGATGATGTAAACAGTGTTAAAGCTATTAAAATTAGTCATGACTTTCCTTTTCTAAGCTACTTGGGCAAGGTTGCACTGAACGTTTTTCCTAGAAAGCATGGTGGCACTCTGTGTATATTTAGTGGTACAAAAAGCAGTCAATATGCCTGCTAATGTGCCTGGTGGGTGGGGGTGGTGGGAATCTGAATTACTGGGCTTTTAGGCACCTTGTGGATTAGAGATGTAATAATTATGGTTCCCTTGGCTCTTCTGTCTGAAATTGGGATTTGCTTAAAATGGTGGTTTGCTTAAAAAGGATTCAAAAAAGGCTTTGGTAATGTAAACACATACAAATTGTTCCAAGCTTCTGCAGAAAACGAAGCTTCTAAATTTAGCTGCTGCTGTTTGGTGCCTATCAGGTCCTAATCGCTTTACGGACAAGATATTCTTGTTCCACTTGATTTGCTGTTCAGACCACTTCAAAAAGACTATTAAATGGATTTTTGTCCTGCAGAATTGTTGAGAATGGACAAGAGAGAGTAGAAGTTGAAGAAGATGGCCAGTTAAAGTCTTTAACAATAAATGGTAAGGAGCAGCTGCTACGCTTGGATAACAAGTAATTCAACGCACGCATTTAACAGAAATTTTAAGCTGTAACAAGCACCCTTTGAGGATAAACAGGAACATTTTTTTGAAGATTTCAGATGAACTCTTTCATTATACCTGTACTTAATCTAAAGTATTTATAAACAGCTCATCGGAGCTCATGATACTGTCAGACTTTTGCGTTAATTGCTGGGACCACATGAATAGGACCATTTTTTGTCCTTAAAATTGTTGTAAATTTCTGTATGCACTTTGCTTTTTATTAAACATGATTCTAGGTAACAGTGATCCTGCGTTAGTGCTAGGGCAAAATTGTACACTAACACTAGCATGAATCCTGCTTTTTGGTTTTTTGTTTTGATATGTGAGCCATCTAGTAGTTTACATCTGCTGTGAAGTTAACATTTCCAAGGCAAACTTAATTTCAAGCTTTCAGTATTTAGTAGTGAATAATGTTAATATGTTCCTGATGGTGCATTTCTGGTTTAAACGAATTAAGGATGTTTTCTAGTTGTGCATGAATGCTGGCTATAGTAAGTTTTGACATCTAAATGTGTAATGTTAAGCCTAGGCTAACAAGTTAAAACTAGTAAGCTTGGGTATTTTGTCATTTTGCTAAAACATTCAAAATGAATAAATTCTGATATTTGTGGTGCATTCTTTCATGGGTAACATTTGTAGCTTTTTTTGTGCGCCTATAACTTGAATATCCATTCTTTGCTTTCAGCATCCGCTTCCTAAGTTCAGACTTCCTTTTCAAATGTTCCTCTATAAAATTGGATTCCACTTATAAATTGGCCACAGTGTTCGCAGCTAGCATAATGTAATTCTTTTGAATTATGTAAGAATAACATAATTCCGAAATTCTGTGAATGTTCAAAAATGATCTAACTGCAATTTGTAGACCAGAGCTTCCCAAATACAGCTTTCCAATGGGCAATAGTATTGAACATAAATGGGCATTCTATCTATTCTTCTTCCTGAAGAGAGAGACTGCTGCCAAAAAACAAAATAAAGGGCATGTCTTAAATGCTGTGTGTATTTAAAGAAAAAGGTTGCCTTTTCTTGTGAAAGTACCCAGGAAGATCCCATCAGTATATGCTGTGGGACCGGGCATTGGTGAAGGCAATTTCACATTGAGCAGTGAAGCAGTAGATTGCGTTGGGGATTGGGAGAGAAGCTAAGCTGCTAGTTGAGAAGCACTGCTCTAAACCACTGGGGTTGTCACGAGTTGCAGCTGAGCGACTGGCTGCTGTTGCCATAATTTTTAATGTAGAAAGAACCTAATTGTTTTGAATGTATATAATAATGTATAGAAGGCACATTAAGTATCATAGGATCCGATTTTCAACCAGGATCACAACTCTTTTTGCAAAATCTGACCTTTAAAGCAACATGTCTCCATTTAGAAACAGTGTGCATGCTTATACACACACACTTTGTGTATTGATTTCTAAAAAATACGCACATCACTTTGTACACTAAAGAAGCACAAGCAGAGTTCAGAAAGAAAAACACAAGTGTCCTATCTCCTCTTTCTTGCACCCCCTCCCTTTACTGGCTGCTATATGTGGTGTGGGGGAGTGGGACCAAGGGAGAGTTAACAAAAATCCCCCCTTCACCAATAGCAAACAAGGTGTTGGACCCAGGACCTTTCCTAGGATATATTTGCTTTAAAACATTACTCCATTCAAACAAATGTTACTTAAGGCCCTTCATAACCTCCTTAGTGGTTTGTCTCCTTATGAGTATTATCTAGTTTCCCCACCCTACCCAATGATGGTCTTTGTTATAATTAAAGTTTTCTAAATATTTAAACATTGAGAATACAGGTATTTCAGTCAAAGAACATTAAAAGATCAAATGACATTTTCTAACACAGAACTACATCATATTTAAGTTGTTGCTAAGATCTTCACTCATTGGCTTCTGGTCATTTAGATCTGAAATCTATAACCCTTAGTTACTAACTTGGAGTAATGCAAGAAAAACCATGCACATTTTGAGTATATACTAGTTATGAGATTTGATGTGAGTGGGCAACACCTCAGTTCTTAGTTGTATTAACTAGTCCAATTGGTTCTCTTTAAACCTTGTTTCTTTAAAGGGGAAAACCTTGTTTACTAATGTTCGGAAATCTGCCTATTATGTATTCAAAATTCCCACATACTGAAAGGTCCCAGTGCCACAACAACATACAAAAAATTAGGATGAACCACATTGGGCTTTGCTTCTCACTAGCTGTTTATATTTCTGGTTCCTGTTTGGCCTGCTGCATTCATCTGAGTTGCTAGTTTGGGCTGCTGGCTTTATGAACTACTTCCCTCACATCTGTGGTTATTGAGAGACTTCAACTGTATGAACTGTGGTCCATTGCACAGATACAGAAAACTGACTTAACCTCAGGTTACTTGGGCCTAAAGCATCAGTTTTAAAACTGGGGCCAAAAGTCAAGCTGCAGAATATCTGCATTTGTCATCCCCATTGCACTCTTTGTTTGAGATCCTGTATTTTTTTTTCTATACATGCCAATGGAATTTGACTTTGGCCATTTGAAAAAAATGATGACAGTCGTGGAAACCAGTGATTGACCACAGTTGCCCCTGTTCCCCATTGTTCAAATGGGGAGGGAAGTGTGGCCCTCTTAACAGCGGTGCAGCTTCTTGCTGTGGCTGCCATCTGTTACTACTTCCACTTTGCTGCTTGCTTCCTGTTTCCTACACCTTTCATTCCATCTGCCCTGACTTCCTGCTTCAGGTCTTGGTCACATAAAAAAACCTTGTTAGCTATACTGGAGAAACCTTGGGGTAGTACTTATTCATGAGTGAGGAAAAACTAGCTTAAGAATAGAAAAATGATCTCCAGGTGAAAATACCCAAACAGTACAGGCAAAATAAATTTGTAGGGTTGGTTACATGCTCTTGACAGACATGTGGGTCAGTTCTGAATTAGTAAGTTCTGCTTCTAATTATTCCTCCAGAGTGGTTGTGCATTTTGTCACTTGTGTCAACTGGCTAGTATGAACAGTAGTTGCTGTGTCTTTGACACCCAGGCAAAATCTTGTTGGGAAATGGTTGTGTCCTATAACTTTATATAGTGCTATTGGTGGCTGAAATGTATTTTCTGTACAAATTTGGGTAAGTCTTCAAGATTCTTAAAATGGTCAGAGTTCTTACAAGGGTTAAAGTTTTATTCAGGTATAGGTGTTGCGGTGGTTACAATTGTCTCCTTGATTAGAATGTGAGATATTTTATATTTCATTGGCTTGAAATCTGGTTCAGCTACTGTAGCATTCAACTCTGATTTCTTGAAGTCATGAATAAAATGCAGCTTTATCTTAAGTGCAATGAATTAACTTGTCTTCTGTCTAGTCACTAGATTGAATGCTGTCATTGTACCTTGGGATTGATTTCCAGCAAGGTATTGATAAAACTGTCCCTATTTCTAAGTTATGTTTTGTAAAGGAAGAGTACCTCAACCATTTTGTAAGTGTCACAATTCTGAGACTTTTAATTTTGAAAGTTTAGCACTCGTCATTCTCATGCTTGAACTTTCGCTGTTGCCTGTCTTCCTGGCTGAATATGTTGGTTTGTGTGCAAGTGGCATTTGTCTAAGTGTTGTGCATTACTGTGTTACGGTGTGTTTGCAGTATTCCTTTTTCACCAACAGTATTTACAGGTTCGACTTCAGCTCAGAATCTTAAATGTAAAATATGTGTGTTTGAATTGTAATGAAATGAGTCACTTAACCTCAGTTTCTTCATCTGTGAAGTACACGCTGTATCTTGTAGCTATAAGCATTTGAGAGAATTTGCAGATATACTAAAAAAAAAACACAGTGAGTTGGTAGTCTGTAGTTCACAACCTGTAGTCTCATTATGATGTGGCATAAATTGGAGGTAAAATGCCAGATACTTAGAGCTGGTTGCTCTGTCAGAGCTTTTCTAATACGTGTGCAAGGCTTTGTGTACACCTCATTAAAAGAAAAGACAATTTTTGTCATTGTGAATTCTGTAAGCATTTATACCAGTTAAGTGCATTTATATATTTCGTTTAAGTTTATCTTTGTAAGTAATAGGGACAAAGTTATGAAGGGCATGGATAGCTCTGCCCCTAATTAGTGAAAATTCTACACCACATATTTCCTACCCACTCTCCAGAAAGTTCTCAAGATGCCCAATTCTAAGCCTTAGACTAAAATGTTAAGCTTGATATGTTCTTGCATAGAATAAATGACTCTGCAGACTAAGTTCAGAGATAGAACTTGTGTGAGTCTATCTTTGGATTCTTGAACCGAGTCTGAGTGGGTTCAGGTTGTCTGTTGACAATTCACACATCATGATGATCTCCTCACAGGTAATCCTTTTATCCGTTGAGTGCTAGTGCTTTTAAGCAATTAAAAGATTATCAAGATGTAATCTAATTATTTTTTGGTATTTGGGAATTCCAGACATGGGCCAAGATTCCTAGGGTTGCTTAGGCCCATTGAATGGGCTTCTGCTGGCTCAGTGGGATTTCTGAATTTTTCTTTGAATAGCTGACTCCTGTGTCATAATCATGATCTCCTTTTGAAGCTTCCTGCAGTTGAGATTCTGGCACAGGAGCAAATATGCCAGTGCCACCTTAAGCAGAGTTGCACCCTTTAAATCCATTGACTTCAGTGGTATTACAAGGGTGTAACTCCACTTGGGACTGCAATGTGAAGCTCCTTTAGGTTTACAGTCTCCTGGGTTTTGGCCTGGTCTTCTGAATCCACCTTTTGAAATGGGTGTAGATAAGAACACCATTATAGATTATTTCACTTCCAGCATATAAAGTTTATAGAAAATGCGGTGTTCAAGAAACCATTTAGACTCTGACAAAAGCTGTTTGTGCAAATAAGTAGACAAAGCTTCCTAGGCCAGTAACATTTTCACTACATTGTCTCATACTCGTGTTAGATATTTGTGGTGCATTTGGGGTATGGGGGTGGCACAGATG